TCAAAAAGATATTTGGTGTACTTTCTTGTATAAAGATTATGCGGATAAAATCGCATTTAAACCTTTGATAATGATGGACGGTTTTGGCCTTTAATATTTCCGAATTCCATTTCTCCTGTTTTTGTCTGATCATCGATTAGGGTAGTGGTTGTAGCTATTGAATCTGTTTCGCTGTTAGCGCGGCTAAGCCCAATACTGCGTACTTGTGGCTCTCCCTTAAGACTAACCAAGGTCTCCCAATTACGACGGCGCTGCCGTCGCTCCATTCGATATGCACTAGGATCCAATCGACAACCAGCTTCAAGCTGTCGAAGGAGATCCCCATTTGTACTAGAATCACATTCAAGGAGACTAGCTGCCCAGGGGTCGTCATCCAAATAGTCGTTAATTCGCAGTCCTGATATGGAATTATTGAACAAATGCATGAATAAAAATTTAAACAATCCTTGAATTTTAAAGTATAGCTCAAAATAACACTATTGATAGTGTAGTAATAACATAAGCTTAAGGGAATCGCAATATTTTTGAGCCAAGGTAAATTGTGTGAAATTATTCAGGACAAAAACTATATATTTTATTGACCCTATTAGCTATCAAAGCATGCTTTCAAACTTAGATTATTGCATTGACTACTCGATATTGCTGGTACCGATGTTATGTTACATGACCCTTGTCTTTTTAATCGTAAGAGATTTAATTATCTAAGTAGTTTATTGTAGAAATTAGGAACATTCTTTTTAAATACCGCAATTAGCGGCAAGTAAATTAATGCCTATTGTTTTAATGCGGATAATATGTAAATTAGCCGAACGCTGGCTTTCAATTTAGTCAAAGGGCATGTTATTAAACATAGTTTAGCATAAAACCTTGCGCATTTTCAAACTTAAAATAAAGTAAATAAATGATGGTAATTGTTTGCAATTCATGTAATAGTTGGAGGTGATTATAAATTAATTTTTTACAATCTAGATATTTTTAATTGCTTACTCATGCCATATGATTAAATAATCTATAACATATACATATATATATATATATATAAGTTATAAATGTATAGTGATCCTATAATGTTTCAGAAAAAATATTGAGGAATGGTACATGTACAATAAAAAGAAATTCTTTCTCATTAAATCTGAATATTTAATTAAATGCTCTGTAATTTTTCATTTATCAATCATGTAGAGACATAGTCTCTAGCATCATCTCTATACCTGGCTGCTCTTTGTCAGTCTTTGTTGTCAAAGCATGCAAATATTGTTTTTATATTGCTGGAGAAAGAATCATTTCTCAAAACTTTAGTAAGTTCCCTTAGTTAAAAGATAGCTACATGACTCCATAACATTTGTAGGCTGAAGAGCCCAATTACAATAGTGCTTTGACTCAATAACTGAAAATTAGCCTGTCAACTTGATTATTAGAGTCATTATCACATCACTACCTAATAAATACTGTTCATATTATAGAATACTTGTAAGACTAGAAAGCAGTATGATCTTTTGTTAGATGCGTTATTAAAATATGAATAGTTTGTAAAAATGGTTGTTTTTTAGCATTTCACTATTAGAGTTAAATTCTTAAGGGATAAATTAGATCGACTTTAGTTTTTATAGTTAGAATCAAAATTTCGATTGCTTCTTACTAATAATGACCTGTATTAATGCAGTTTTTAGCATTAAATTACTATTTTTATCAGCCACATTAATAATAATTTGTTATTTTAGCCTGTCCTAGACATAAACTCTTCATATGATTAATAGAAAGAGCGTCTCAGAATTAGATAGATTTTCATTGTCCACAGAGATTAGTAATTCCGGAAAACAAATTTAGTCAATATTCTCTTTCTGGTCAAGCCTTCTATGTTTTGAATACCTAAACTATCCATTTACTAAATTTTATGCCTTTTTTCAATTCTTAATTTCAATTATATAGTCGTAAAATAGTGTTTCCAACCACTTGTTATCATTAACGTATATGAAAAGTTGCTGAAGAACATCTTTTCATCTCATCGTATATATTCACGCTATTTTTTCATTGATTTACCTTCCCCTTGAAATTATAACCCCCTTTTAAATAGGATATATAACCTTATTCGTTTCTAAGTGACTAAGTAAGACAGTTTATCTTTCTCCTTAATTATTTTAATAGCTATTCATATTTTAGAGGCTTGCTCCGACAAAAGTTCAAGGTTAATTCCTGGCCTATTAAACCACATTCAACTTGTTTTCGTTTAACTTTCTGATCTTAACATTTTATTGAATTTCTCCCATTATTTTTTG